TTTTGATATCTTAGGAGAAAGATTCATCAGACTAAGATTTATATCCTAGGAGAAAGTTCATCAGACTAGGTCTTCTATCTTAGGAGAAAAATTCATCAGACTAAGATTTCTATCCTAGGAGAAAATTCATCAGACTAGGTTTCTATCTAAGGAGAAAAATTTATCAGACTAAGATTTTGATCCTAGGAGAAATTTCATCAGACTAGGTCCCTTATTTGTTATCTTAGGAGAAATATTCATTAGACTAAGATTTCTATCCTAGGAAAAAATTCATCATACTATGTCTTCTATCTTAGGAGAAAAATTCATCAGACTAAGAGTTTTATTGGGAGAAAAATCCATCAGACTAGGACTTTTTATCCTAGGAGGAAAAATGTGAAGAGCAATGGCAACATTTTATGCACATTAGCAAGACATGTAAGGGAAAAGATTTGAGAAACTTCCCTTTGTCGACTCTTCTCTTCTTCTTCTTTTCCTTTTTCTTTCTTTTATTTTCTTTCTTTTTTTTTCTTTCTTGCTTTTGAACTAACTTGCTTGCTCTGCTTTGTTCCTATTTTAAACAAAGAAAACTTGTGAGTTTAAATGTGGTGGTTAGTTTGTGGCCTTGACCTTGAGGGCGGCTGCTTCTACACTTGCATTTTATTTCAACCCTTATCACAAAAAACACCTCCGCTCCATTCGATCTCAATTTCCTCTATCTGTTGCATTTTGCTCATGAATTGACATTTACCGAACCCTTGCATTTCACATGAATCCCTAAGCATGTTGATTGTTACCGACTCAATGCGCATACCACTTTTCCCTGACTTATGCCACTTTGATGTGCTAGCCAAATTTATTTTGTGCAATTGGAAAGCTGGTAGCAAATTTTAAAGTTATTTCTCACTTGTTCTGACCAAACAGACTCAAGAAGGGACTCAAACAAAACAACAGGAACAAAATAAGGGACAAGGGAAAGAGATGATACCTAACAAGAAAATTACAAAGTAGAAACTTATCAGATGTAGATACCAACTCTAATGACCATGACATGCACCTTTGGATTAAGTGGTCTAATCTCTCAAGCAAGTCTAATATTCAACTCTTATTGTAACTCTTCGCTGTGAAACTAGGCTTTAACGCTTCAATTGTCCCATCTGATCCACAATCCTTAATCGACTTGTAGTGCCCTGAAGGTTTTCACCATCTAGCCTCTCTCATTTTGTTCTTTTCTCAACTCACTGTCGCCTTACGGTGCCCATGAGGGTTTTTACTGATAAGACTCTCTCATTTTACCATTTTCTCTCTTTGTGCTGAGAACAAAGTATTACCCACGATGCAAGAAGATCATACTTTCACCATACACTTGATTTAACATCCTCAAAGATTGGTCGGAATGTCTTTCTTCGGACAGTAATGTAGGCTATTCGATAGGGTTGGAAACAAAGGGTAGCATGAAGGCTCAAAATAATTTAAGATGAAAGGGTTCAAAATTATAACTTTTGGAATCAGGCCTTTTGGCAAAATTAAAACTTCTGCCCCAGTTTCTTGGAGTTTAGTTTTTTTTTTTTGGTTTTTGCTTTTTTTTTTTGGATTTTTGCTTTGATGGGATTTCTAAGAAAATCTGCCCCACTCTTGACTTCAGGGATTATGAAATATTTTATTTGGTGTGACCGAACCATAAGGCTGCTTACGTATCTTGTGGTGACAAGAATCAGGTCGAACGTAGTTCAAACACAAAGTTGGGTTTTTTTTCCTTTTCTTTTTTTTTCTTGTTTTTTTCCTTTTCTTTTTCTCTTTTTATTTTTCATTTCTAGTTCCTAACTCTGCTTCTGATTTCAAAAGAGGTGTATGAAATGAAACAAATTAAGGCTCAAAAGGGGTAGCAAAAGATAAAAGTGTTTGGGTAGCAAAATAAAATGCTTTTGTCATACCAAACTTTAAAACTGCCAAGTATAAACATGCAATTGAATAATACACAAAGAAATCATGCGCATTATCTATTGATGGCATCATCACAAACAGAAAGTGCCGACGGGCAATACCTTTGTCCCAATGAATGATCCTTGCCGGTTTGAAGCAGACTTGACTCAACCTTATATTGATGTGGAAGAATGCATTTCAGCACTGACTGATTTTCCTCAAACTGCTTGAGAGACATTTCCTTATTGTATGCTCTTATTAACCTTTTGATTTCCCAAACTAACTGCCTCAGTTCCACTCAATTCAAGATTCAGGTTATCTCGAGATGCATGAATCTTTACTTGTTTTCTCAAATGCCTCCTTTTGTTATATTCAAAACCATGTCATTGCTTCATGATTAGACTAACTTTCAAGACCAAACTGAGAATTATGCGTGCATGTCATGTCACTAGAGTCAGTATGAAAAGTACTATAAAAGGAAAAGTGACCTAAACAAAAACTGACTAGAACTAACAGAAAACAAGAGATTGCATTAGACATATGGTGAAAAGGGTTTGAACAAAACAAGCAAAATAGACAAGGGTTACAACCCTGGAACAATCCTAAATAACTCTAGACGAGTTACTACAACTAAACGAACTAGACAAAATAAGAAGAAGAAAGGTTTGAGCCACAAGACAATGTCCGGATTACAACCCCGAAATAACCTGGACAACAGAAATGACAACAAAATAAACCACCAAAACTCCTCCCTGGCTAGCCAAGAAAAGAGTGTCTTTCTAATTACCAAGCTCGGCATCTTAGCCACTGGGTTGCACATCAAAATTACCGGGACCTTCACCAATTTCAATATCATTAACTTCAGTCAGCAAGTTTCCAAGAGGATTCCCATACTCCGTGTCACCATGCATCCTCCCCACAAAGTGTGCATTATCCTGTGCAGGTAAAGGATTCTATGCGATGTTCTGGGTGTCACTGTCCTGGATCACAATTATCCCTTCTTGAATCATTCTTTCTATTTCTCTTTTCAAATCTCGACAACTTTCGACATTGTGCCCCTGGGCATTGGAATGGTATTCACACCTTTTAGAAGGGTCAAATCTTCTTGCACGCGGATCCACATGATTCAGAGGAATAGGTGTAATCAGGTCATAATGCTTTAATTTCTCAAACAAGCTTGCATAGGACTTTCCTATCGGTGTAAAATTATCTTTCAACCTTTGTTTACCTCTATACCCCTGGCTTGGATGTGGGTTATGGGGCACTTGAAAATTTGTGGAGGCTGGTGGATATTTTGGGGTGCTAGTGCTCGCTTTCTAGGGTGTCTTGGTGGCTGGACAACATACTGGGGTGGAGCAACAGAGTATTGTGGGTTCTTAGGGGGATCGTCAAAAAACAAACTAGGTTGATCATGCCTTCGAGATGTTCTTCTAGGACCTTTTCTCGACCGTGATGTCATCATGATTTCTTCAACCTTCTCACTCGTGCCACTAAAATTACCAGATTCAATTTGGACAGCCTGAGTTGCAGCTTTGAGAGCTGCTTGACTAATAATTTTGCCTGTCTTAAGGCCATTCTCTACCATTTCTCCCATTTTGATTGCTTCCGAGAATGATTTGCCAACTATGGACATCATGTTTTGAAAGTAATCGGGCTCTTGAGCTTGAAGGAAGACAGTGATTTGCTCATGGTCATCCATGAGTGGCTTAACTCTAGCTGCTTGTTCTCTCCATTTAATGGCATATTCCCTGAAGCTTTCAACTGGTTTCTTCTTTAGATTTGAGAGAGAATGATGCTCTAAGGCGATGTCAATGTTATATTGGAACTGTTTGACAAAGGCCTAGGCCATGTAATCCCAGACATACCAGCAAGATATGTCTTGACCCATAAACCATTCGGAGGCTACACCCGTAAGGCTTTCCCCAAAATAAACCATCAGTAATTCTTCATTTCCTCCCACACCTGATTGCAATGCCTTTTCAAGTGGGCTATGGGGTCTCCATGTCCATAATACCTTTCAAATTTGGGAGTCTTGAAACCAAATGGCAAACGAACATCAGGAAACATACATAGATCCTTGAAGGCAATACTCTTTTGACCTGCCAACCTTTATATGTTTTTCATCTGTTTTTCTAAGATTTTCAGTCTTTGGGTTATTTCTTCCGGTGCTATCTTTCGATCAGGATTCTCAATCTTTGCAGGAAGATCAAATAGGTAAAAGTGGTACTTAGGAGAGTGGTATTGTTCTTGCTGGGTAGCGAATTGTGACTCACGAGTTTTCCTCTGCACCACCGTCGGCTGTGGGAAGGTGAAGACATGCACAACTGTAGTGGTTGTCTGATTGGTTGTCAATGACACACTTTGAAAGTGCCAATAGAAGTTCCAGCTATAGTCAATTGGGATAAAGACTGAACCTAAATGGATAGAATTGATCAGAAAATGAAACCGAACTGGTAGTAGTCGAGATGGGTGTAAACTTTGGGAAAACATAAGATAGGGGTAGTCCTTGCCCATTGGCCCACGCTTGACACATTTCAGACATTTGTTGTTTCAGCCTTTGGGCCTCCTCTTTCAATTCAGATTCCGGCTCCACAATCTCCCTCGAGGGGACAACAACTCTTATGTCCAAGTCTTTGCTAGCCATGGCTACCTTGCTCTTTGACCTTGTGCTATATGGATGAATTGCCAAAGTGACACAAACTAACCACCCTCTGTTATGATCACAATGAAAGTAACAAAAATGAGCAAAACAAACCCAACATGTTAGCGTTAGGGCATTATCAGATAGAAATATTACATTGCATGCAATGCCCCTAGGAACAATTAACGGTTCTAGAATGACTTCGAGGGTCACAAGGTCATTTGGCATCATTTCAATTTTGTTCATTTCAATTTTCTCTTTTCTTTCCTCTCATTTCTTGCTGATTATCGCTCTTTTCTTGCATCCTACAGTTTCCTCTCATTTTCACATCTCACAACTTCATCTCTTTTTTTTTCTTTTTTTAATAATGATTCGATCAAACCCTATGTAGGTTGCCTACGTATCATGTCCCTCATGAATCAGATCAAGCGTAGTTCTGAAAAAAGTAATGGACAAATAAACTAAAAATCTTTTAGAATTTTTCATTTATAACTTTTTTTGGTTTTTCAAATACAAAACAAGAAATATGATGATGCGAGACTTAACAAACTCAACTATACTACGACAAACTGTTACACCAACTAAAATACTGAATACTATCATACAAGACTAGAAAGCAAAAAAATAATATAAAACAGACTCAAAAATAAAAAGTCTCCTCAAACAGCTCCCAAATGTGATGGTCCCGGGGTATCTGTCGTGCTCGAGTTTTGGTAAATAAATCCATACCTGAATGAAAAAAATAAGACCAAATAGATTAAATGAATCGAGACACTATGTGAGATCACACCTCTTATTGGACACATGCAAGACAAGATTAAGATATTTTTGAAAATTAACCTACATGCCAAGAGTGGCTATTAATGCAAACTCAACAAATGTGACCTCTAAGACATGAAAATATACCTCACTAAGGCTTATATGAATTCAAACTCTCGATAATCATGGCCCAAAATTAATTTGCAGAAATGACCCATTTTAGTAAAAACAGCCAATATCGCCAAAAATGGCTAAAGATGCAAACTCATAAAGAACGAACCTTAAAGTAATATGACACCTAGTTGTGGACTCAAAATCCTAAGACATGGGTCGTTGAACCACTTTTGCGAAAATGACCCCATTTTGCAAGAATGACCGATGTGGCCAAAAGTGGCTAGATATGCAAATTGAAAAGGAATGGGCCTTGAAGTAAACAAACATCTAATTGTGGATTCTAGATTCTCCATACACGGTTCAACAAGCCACTTCTCAAAATAGCCCTATTTTGCAAAAATAGCCAATGTAGCCAAATGTGGCTAGACATGCAAGATTTGGCTAAGACCCCGCGAAGCCAAGAAACTAAGACACTAGGAAGACCGGATCTTATGTGGACTGCCTACGTATCCCGCCCCGAAAGATGAGAATTAGGTATGCGTAGTTTGGGAAGATTGGATATGGGAAAAAGCTTCTTCTTTTTTTAAAACAAAATGCAACTAATTTGGAGAAACTATTTTTTTGTCTTTTTGAGAAATGATGGAAAATGTAATTTTTTTTTTGAATTTTCTTTCTCTTTTTTTTTTTTTTTTATTTTTGAAAAATGATGGGAAACTGCAAAAACTTTTTGGATTTTTCTTTTTCAAATTTTTTTGGTCTTTTCTTGAAAAAGTTGTGAAAGAAAAATATAATTAGGCCCTACTTGCTTCATTTTATACCTCACCCTCTTTTTATCTTATTGGTCCGCCAAATGACCCACTTACCCTAAAAGAATGCAGCTTGTAGCACATAGGGATGATTAAATGTCGTTTAGGCCATGAGCCCATTTTGACATAATTTGGATAGACCTCCTACAACGGGACACGGTGCCTGGGACCGAACCCTTCTAGGTTTAAATGATATGATGCAAATAAGCATGACCTAAAAGCTGACCTACGTTTGGGGTTCACTAGACAAGGCAATTCGGGGCGGCACGTGGTCGATGGCGGCTGCTCTAGCTGTTCGCCCACTCCACGCCACCCCCTTAAAGACACAGGTGACTCACAAAAAGGCCGTGTATGCTCAAACGTACTCCAGAAGACTTGTTGCATAAAGAAAACCTGGGGTTATGCAAATGATGACAGTTATAAAGCAGTAAACATATAAAAAGAAAACTGTACTCACATAAACAACTAGCAAATAATAACAAAGTATAAAAACATAATAAAAGTCAGATAAAGCTTAAAGAAAAACATAAACACCTCAATCGGATATTCTAAAAGCCAACAAGATCAAGTATCAGCTTGAACCTGCAACTCCCCATCAGAGTCGCCAGAGCTGTCACACCCCTTTTTTTACCAATTCATTAACCCTCTTAAAAATAATAAAAGAATATTGTAAAGCTCAAAAGGGTTTTTAGTTAAAAAGTGACAAAATTGTGTTCAAAAGGAAATAACTCAGAGTCGCCACCTGACATTGGTTTCGATGTGCCAGGTCACCGTTTTTTAAAAAGAATTTCCTTTTAAAACACTTTGGACTCCAAAACTAAGTCCGCACAAGAGATTTGGGTAAGGGGATTCATTTGACTCGGGGAGAAGGTGTTAGGAACTTCCCAAGTCCCGTGAAGGTCAAGGTTGAGTACTCGATATAGTTGGCCTTTAAAATATTCAAATTGAGGTAAAATTACAAAAAGGAAAATAAACACAAAAGAGGCTCGAGGTCGTCCCCACCTAAATAAAAAAATAATGAAAATAAATTAAGAATACTACAAGTTCTATTTTCGGTCTCCAAATACAAATACTACGGGCCATACCCCGGATAAAAATATATACAAAATTTCACGGGGCATTCCCTGGATAATAAACTAAAGGAACGACCTCTCGCCTCAAAACTAACAAAAATACTAAGGCTTGCCTACCCAAGTGCGGCCGTCCTAAACATGCTCCTTACTGTTTAATTAATTAAAAGAGTAGTAAAAATATTTCAATTAACTTTTAAGTTCCAATCCAATCCCTCGGCCACATACTTGTTTTACTATCTATGTCATCACCCAATTCAATTAATAAATTAATTTAACTCTGGAATCACCAAAATGTTACTCAATATGCCCTTAAACATCTATCTCTTAGTGAATAATTGAAATAACCAATTAAACTTATCTAACCATTCATCAGAATAGAGGATAACCAATTAACAAGAAGAAATGGAGCATCAAATGGCAAGAAATCATTGAAACAGAGTAAGGAAACGATAACCTTCAGCAAAACAAAGCAACAACAAAATGATAACACAATAAAAGCCTAATACTAAGCAAAATAGCAGAAGGAAGAAATAGACCTCAAAATGATAGAACCTCGTCGGATGACATTCGAACCTCGACGGAACTCGAATTGGCACCGAAAAGAGAAAATCAAATGGGATCAGAAATCGGCACCGGAAAATTTAAATCAACACCGATTCATACCCAAACAAGCTCAAGCAATGAACTCCGACAAAAAAAAACTTTAACTCTGTTTCTTTTTTGATTTCCCTTTTTCAAAATAATATAGAACAAATGAAGCTAAGACACTTTAGGTATTTATTATTGTAGTAATCAGATCAGTCCATCCCCACTCCTTTTCGTTCACTCTCTGTTTCTGATGCTTTGTGTATGCGTGAATGGTGAGGAACGACTAGTTTTTAGTGTAAGGGTGAAGAGTTTTATAGAAAGGGGTCGCTGGTATTGTGGACGGTGGTAGTGAGCAGCTAGTGGGCGGCGGTTCTAGTGAGGTAAAGGGCGGTTGTGTTGGTTTGTCGCAGGATTTGCTGCCGGTTTTTGGAGGTTCGAGTCTTAGGTTTCTCTAGTGTTCATGGTTGCTTTTCTTGTAAGAGATCAGAAAAGAGGCGTGCACAAAAGTGGTCGACGGCTGAAGCTCAGGGTCGCTGTTGTACTGGAGGTCGAAGATGAAGAAGCAAGAACCACTGAAGCTTTTGGAGATCCCGTCATTTTCGTTGGGAGATTGGGTGGTGTCCAGGCTGCTGATGGCTTGGAGTCTTTTTGGGTGTATCCAATTAGGTTTCAGCTAGGGTGTGTTCAAGTTTGAAGATGGATATGGGGAAGGGAGCGACGACGGCGATTTTGATGAAGGGGAGTGGAGGGCGGCTGCTCTAGGTTAGATGGGTGTTCTCTAGGGTTAGGTTTTAGGTTGTAATTAGGTAGATATGTGGGTGGAGTTTAGTTTTGACCATTGGATGAAAGGGAGTGAATGACTAGGATTAAATTAAAAAGAGCTGATAGGTTAAAGGGTCTTGGGCTTCATATTTGGGTCTTAAAATTGGACTAAAAGAAAAATATCCAAACCTTAGCTAAATATCTTTTAATATAAGCTAAATAGACTACATATTGCAAAAATCTATCTAATTAATTAAACTAAATTATATATAAAATATGAAACTATTTTTTTTTATATTTTTTAAATGTGAAACTAAAATAATAACAAGATTAGATTAAAATCATCGCAAAATTAAGATAATATTACTACCCAAAACACTAATATCCTTGAAAATAAAGTGTGACTATTTTTGTATTTTCGAATTTTATGTAAGGTAGATAAACTAAAAGTAACAAGATATAATATCAATAACCTAAATAAAAGAACATATTTTTGTAATTTTTATTTTTGTAATAATATAAAGTAAAATAGTTAAAACTAGGTAAAATAGCAATATTAGGCCTAAACTAAATATCTAAAAGCTAAATTGAATAAACTCGGGGAGGGTCAAAAATTACATGTCTACAATACTGCCAAACGTGGGTACAATAATCAACTTCCCAAAATCCGGTATTACTAAGTCACAAGCTCTAAATGGAGTACATATCAAGTCTTGAAGAATACAATAATGTTTGAAATGCATAAACTGTATAAAACAAAAAGTAAAGAGGGTGACTCCGAGGCCTGCGAACGGAACACCATGGGTACCTCGAAGTCTCCAATAAGTACAAGCACACCTCCCTAGCGATGAGCTTGATCAGAAGTACCCAGATCTATATAAAAATATGCAAAAGCGTAATATGAATATACCACAGTCGATATCAAATAATTATCTAAACTAACCTCAGTGAAGTAGTATCGAGATTCAAGTCATGTAATACTCATTAGTCAATAACTTGTGCATTATATTAATAACTGACAATAGAATATAAAAGGGAAAACAATAACAACCTTCTCGTAGAACATATGATCACAACTCACTGTAGATAAACCCATCTTTGTCAACAACTCATCAAATAGAAATGGGGCATGTGATAGCATGTAAAATTCAACTGACAACTCAATAAAAATACAAGAAGGATACTTAAGAAACAAGTACGCGATCAACATAACCCCGTTTCACCACATAAAAACAAAAGAAAGATACCCCAAAATCTCACATAACATCATCAACAATGCCACCCTTATTTCGTCGCATGTGCAAATATCAATGAAATTTCTCTCTTATTTTGCCACATTCGCATATCGCCACCCTTATTTCGTCATGTGGGCAACCCGAGAAAATTCCACCCTTATGTTTTCCACGCACACAACAATAGACATATTCGCATAACAAAGACCTCATGCTGACATCCCCAATTAATCCGCTCAACATGTCCATATGTACCACAATTATTACAACAACAATAATACAAAAAACGCATCAAAAGCATAAACTAATACTGTATCAACAAGTTGCAATGATCATGTACACGTAACAAAATGATTAAGCATGTTTCATATAGAATATATCCCCATATTAAGGCATATCAACAACCTAAGGTCTAAACTGATCACAAACCACACATATCATCCGTGCACATGTTCATCACCTCATGTACACGCTGGTTTTCACATCATACAAATAGGCGATTGAGGACAAACCTAAACGGTATTCCTTATACAAGGTTGGGCAAGATACTTACCTCAAACAAGCCAATTCAATACTCCAAAAATTTCATTTTTTTAAAATTCACCTCAATCCGACTCAACTATTGCCAAAACCAATAATATCAAATAATGGTCAAGGAATCAATTTCAAACAATAAAGGCCCCAACTTTACCCAATTTCTAAAAAGTCAACAAAAGTCAACCTCGGGTGCGCCCGGTCAAAACCCAAGTCAAGGGACAGATCTCGACTACCGATAACCCCACAAGTCCAAATATGTAATTGGTTTTCAAAATCGAATCCAAATCAATTCTCAAATCCCCAAATTTTCATTTTTCAAAGCATCATAAAATATCCCAACAAATTCCATGATTTTAGTGTAAAAATCCATAAGAAATCAAGTTATATTATCAAAATTAAGTGAAAACCACTTACCCAATAGCTATGTGTGAAATCCCCTTCAAAAATTGCCTTCCACCAAGCCTAGGTCATATAATATGATAAAATAAGACTATATCCCGAAATAACCAACTCTAAACGACCTGTAGATGTCGCATTTGTGATCAGAGGTTCGCAAATGCGACTTCTGCAAATGCGAATCAGGGATCAAAAAAGCTAACCATGTCTTCCCTAGGAAAGTCACTAATGCGACCATATATTTCGCAAATGTGAAGTCCTTGCTTCCCAATATTTAGTTGCAAATGCGACTACTACTTCGTAAATGAGAAGCCTAACTACCTACTCAACTGTCACCAATGCAACCAAAGCCTTGAAATTGCGAGGTCCCCCCAAGGTAGCCCCCCATCGGCAATATATGTTGGCCACTGGAATTGCGGCCATTGCAAATGCAAGCAAACCTTCGCAATGCAATGTCTACATTACCAACATTCCTGAAACTAACTAAAACACTCTGAAATTTATCTGAAACTCACTCGAGCCCCTCGGTCCCCACATCAAATGTCCACACAAGTTCATAAATATCATATGAACTCGTTGGAATGTCCGGAATATCAAAATAACACATAAAACCACAAATCAAACAACAAAATGTATCATGCAAACTACGAAACTCGAGAACTTCAAAATTCACCACGAAGCATCCAATCCCGACCAAACAAACTTGGAATAACACCTAACTTTGCACACAAGTTCCAAATGGAAAAAATGACCTATTCTAAGTCCCGAGTCTAAAATCCAAACCAGATAGCCACAAAGTCAACCCTTGGTCAAACCTATGAAATTTCTAAACCTTCAAATTGCAAACTTTCGGGAAAAAGAGCCAAATCACCATGTGAACCTCCAAATTCTATTTTGGGCATGCTCCTAAGTACAAAATCTCCATAGAAACCTGTTGCAACCATCCAAACACCACTCTAGGGTCGCTTTCACAAAAGTCAAACTTTGGTCAACTTTCACAACTTAAACTTCCAAACTAGGAACTAGGTTTTCCAATTCAATCCAAAAACTTCCCGAAGAAAAACCAACCATCCACGCAAGTTAAATAACAAAATACACACATGAGAAGCTTCAAAAGGGGAAACATCGCTCAAATATACAAAACAACCAGTCAAGTCGTTACATTCTCCCCTTCTTAATCAAACTTTCGTCCTTGAACAAGTATAAAGACATACTTGAAGTGCCAAAAAAATGAGGATATCAGCTCCGCATATCATTCCTCGGTCTCCCAAGTCGCCTCTCTATTGAACCTTCATCGATGCAATGTTCTTTGACCTCAGCTTTCTGATTTACCTGTCCAAAACGACTACCAGCTCCTCAACATAAGTCAAATCCTTGTCCAATTGCACCGAGTTAAAATCTAACATATGTGACAAATCCTTATAGTACCTCCGGATCAAGGAAACATGAAACATTGGATGAGCTCCTGATAAGATTGGTGGCAAAGCAAGTTTGTAGGCCAGCTCACCAACTCTCTCTAGAACCTCAAAAGGAAAAATATACCGAGGGCTCAACTTGCCTTTCTTCCCGAGCCTCACCACAAACTTCATGGGAAAAACTCTAAGTAGAACTCTCTCATCCACTATGAATGCCATATCACGAGAATTCTTATCAGTATAACTCTTTTGCCTAGATTGTGCTGTGCGAAGCCGCTCCTGAATCAATTTCACCTTTTCCAAAGCATCACAAACCAAGTAAATTCCCAATAACCTTGCCTCTCCAAGATCAAACCAACCAATTAGAGAACGACATCGCCTCCCATATAATGCCTCAAAAGGAGCCATTTGCATGCTCGACTGGCAACTGTTATTGTAGGCGAACTTTGCTAATGGTAGAAACTGATCCCACTATCCCCAAAATCAATGACACGGGCTCGTAACATGTCCTCCAAGATCTGAATAGTACGCTCGAACTATCCGTCCATTTATGGATGAAATGTCGTACTCAGCTCGACCTATGAGCCCAACTCATACTGCACAACTCTAAAAAATAAAATGTAAACTAAGTGCATCGATCCGACATAATAGACACGGGCACACCATGCATGCGAACAATATTTGTAAGATAAATCCGAGCTAGCTGCTCTAAAGTGTAGGTAGTCATGATTGGAATAAAGTGTGCAGACTTAGTCAGTCTTTCCAGAATACCCTACACAACATCAAATCTTCTCAAGGTTTGTGGTATCCCAACTATAAAATCCATAGTGATACACTCCCACTTTCACTCCGGTATATCTAGCCTCTGGAGCAAACCACCGGTCTCTGATGCTCATACTTAACATACTGACAGTTCAAACACCATGCAACATACTCAACAATGTTTGTATCCATCATCCACCACCAATAATGTTGATTTAAATCATGGTACATCTTTGAGGCACCTGGATGAAAGAAATACAATGAACTATGGACCTCCTCAACAATTTACTCCCGCAACCCATCCATATTGGGCATACAAATATTTAATGACCCAACTTATCATTTTGAGCTCTAGCGTGTCATTCAGTAGTTTGAGGCCATGAGCAGCTTCACTTCAGGTATCATGACCTGTACGCATGGTCATAATTGAATTTTGGGAAGTTCAGAGTTGATTCTCATTTCGAAAGCTTTAAGTTGGAAGATTGACTAAGGTTGGATTTTTGAGTAACCGACCTCGGAATCAAGATTTGAAGGTTCCAACAGGTTCGTATGATAATTTCAGACTTGGGCGTATGTTCAGATCGGGTTTTGGATGACACGGCAGCATTTCGACGCCTATTGTGGAAGTTAGCATTTTGGAAGAATTTTATGAATTTGGATTGAAGTGCATTTCAATGTTATCAATGTCTGTTTGGGATTTCGAGTCTGAGAATAGCTGTGATGACCCGGC